CCTCTGCTCGACACCGCAGATATGTTTAACACATTGTTCAACATTTCAAGTGCGCTGACCCTTCCACCTTGCGGTTCCATCACCTTTTTCGACCTGGGAACCGAGTTAACTGCAAACCCATTGTCAGAGTGTGTCAACAAAGAAACTGCAACACATTAATGATCAGTTATAAGTCCTTAAAACAACATCCAGCACAAAATAACACACACAAACCAACAAAAACAAAGAACTATGAGACACGGACGCCCCGTATATTTTAAAAAAAGTAAAACATGTCTCTTGTTTCAATCTCATCATTTCACCCTCCAATCTTGGGCAGCCGCACTTTGGCCCACCGGACCCACCGGACCCACATCACCCCCGGTCACCCGCTGCGCACGAAGGGAGCTTCGGGACCCCACGAACGCCACGGTCGGCGGCTTCGCCCAGTCACGGAGCTTCCGGCTTCAAGTCACTCACCTCCGGGGCAAACCTCACACAAGGCAGGGGTGTCCACACGGGCGCTGCGCGTGTGGCTTTCAAGCGCAGGCGAGAAAGCGTGTGGAGGTGTTTTGTGTCGAAATTGGGGCGAAATGCGGGTGGATTGATGTGAAATGGCAGCTCCGGGTGTTTTCGTTGGTTGATTCAATTTGGATGGAGCTCTATATTTCAATTCTCACTCAACAAGCTGTCCGAATCGCTGGGTGATTTGGAAGGGAAGATGGTGGATGGTGTCAATGAGCACATTGTCTCCCATGAGGTACTTGAATTCCAGCACCGCGAACACAGTGGATGATCTCCCTTGTGTTAGGACCCGAAGCAATGCGGATTCTTGTTGGTTCGAGTCCATGAGCTGTGGGTCTTGTTGCTTCGAACATGGATTGCTAGCCACACTTCTCACATCTTCTCACCAGCGGCCGCAGGGCTCTCCATCACATGGGACTGAATGTTTTTTGCGAACGGATGGAAAGGTGTGCCCTGGCCCCGTTCTAGCCCTTAGTTCAACATGAAGCTCGCGCGCTAAAGCTCCTTTTTACCTGGTTGGGCACTTGAGCCAAAAGTATATGGCATGTACCTGTATAGCGACTATACTGGGACCCCATCCCTATTGACACCCCCCACATCCGTACTTCGACGGGGAAGGGAGATGAGTGGATGTAAAAACCGGAGAACGAATCACGTTCTCAAAAGTGTATTGGAGGTCAACCAGTATGTCCTATTGAATTGAATTAGCAAAAGATCTTGCATTCGCTTGAAAGTTGGATCAAACAGGTAATGGAGCTACAAACGGAAAACGTGCACCTACCTATGGTATCATGCGATTACCAACGGTGTGAAACACAATCCTCTCTCACTCCCATGATGCCAAAACGGTCATCATGAATTACCCAAGATCCCTCAGTACTTGAAGTACCAGAAGTGGCATGTCGGTATGACCCCAATGCTCAACCATTCGTGAGTTGTCGCATGTAGTCAGCGCCGACAAAGCCAATGTAGTCCTTGATGAGCTCAACGTTCCTCGGATTTCCCGCTCGGATCTGCTCCTCGAAGAACTTCAATTTCTGTGCTTGGATAGCGGATACCTCTATGCCATAGTAGCGGCATGCAACGAGGATCTCCTTCGTGACATTCTTCCGCTCCGATTTGATGGCGGGACTAATGTCGATGAATTTGTATGGAGCGGCACTTTCGTCATCTGGTTTCTGGTAGTAACTATATCGGCTCGCTCCGAAGGTCTTCCTGATCAAGCGTCTGATGAAATTTGAGATGAATGCCAGTTTCTCGATGATCTCTTCCTGGGTCTCAGACCTTCGAGCCTTTGGATCACTCATGTTACGCCGAGTGCTACCGACCTGACTCTTTGAGGTACTTGTGGCTAAGCCCGCAGCGGATTGCAGTGATCATCATCGGGTGAACAACGTGGGCGTGGAATTCATAGATCTGCCACGCTTCTGTTGCATACACGTCGTTGGTCCATCTGCTCATGCCTACGACCTCGGCTCTCTGGAGACGTCTTGGAAACCCAGTGTCTGGATCATTCGGTACTATCGGCCATCTATTGTACGGAGTGTCATGCCGCTGTCCATCGTCGAACTTTCGCAGCACATCTTCACGACTCTCAAAGCAGTTGATGTCGAACGTTGCATTGGCCAAGCTCTTGATCAACTTCGTCAACCTCAGATCAAATTGCTGTGTGACTGCAAAGTTGTGGTCGATGGGGATCGCAGCTTCTTGCGGCAATTCGTCGATTGCGAAGGGGAAAGGCTGCGGAAGTTCATTCCCGTATCCATCTTGAGGGACCTCCCGATATTCGGGTTCGCCTTCAGCCTCATCCGGTCGTTCCTTCAAAATGATAGGAACTTCCTCCTCTTCCTCTCCTTCGGATTCCTCGACCTCAATGACCTCTTCGGCTGTCTTGCGTGCATTCTTGATGACTTCATCGATGTTTGCACCTGCAGCAGAAGTTGCTTCACCGGAAGAACTGGCTGGGACATCTTTCGGAGGTGATCGTTGATTGCGGTCCCTTGTCTCCTTGGGTACCACATGCGTGAGCTTCCCATTCGCGATCAAAACCGCTACGCAGTGCGGACATATCGTCAATCGCACATCGACTTCGCCAAGACAGTTAGGACACGGTCTTGAGTCATAGTCTTTCATTGCCCGGCGGTACACGATCTCCTCAAAGATTTCCTGCCACTCGGTGCTATCATATTCTGGGTAGACACCACTCTCCTCGATCATACCCAACAGTTTTGAGATTTTGGCGTCGTCCTCGGAGTAGGTATCGTCCTGAACCTCAACCGCTAAACTCTCAAGCTTTTGAAAGCGTGGGATCATGATCGGGTTTCCGTATTTGGACTCCAGAACAAGGTAGCTTCCAGGGTCGGGTTCCCTATTGAGTAACCTGATCCATTCGATCTCCTCAGGCTGTCCGGGTTCCGCATTGTCGCATTGCAACCATGCCCCTTTAACCTCATCGAAGGGAACGACGTTCTCAACCAATAGAGAGCCAGTCGCTGAGATGAGAAGCCCGTACTCCTGCAGCTTCCACACCGGAATGTAGAGAACCACTGGGCGATCATTCAATGCGACCTTACGACCCAGCCAAGGTTTTCCCTTGTAGCCCTGCTCCCAGGCCCATGGCGGAAAACATGTGAAGTGGATAGAATCCCTTCCCGATGAACCGAGACCTCCTGGCACTAGCCCCCGTCGCATGATTGAAGTCAGCGCTCCAAGATTGGTAGCGTGAAATGCAGTCACCATAGATAGGGCCATGTCGTTGGTCATTCTCGATCCAATGTGGTCGATGTTAATGGTAACGTCATAACCTCCGCCGTCCGTTGAGTGTGCTGAGGTTGCTCTTACGGCCACGGGAAAGCACCATCCATCGCTATGGTGGAGTCTTCCTTTAGAGATTCCCATGCCCTTGAGTTCGTCAATCCATTCTTTCTCCATCGGGTCATCGGGGTCATTGAGTTCATCAGGGTGAACGCGGACTGCCAGCATTTGGAATCTGACCCTCTTGGTTATGCGGAAACACTCATAGTTCTGGTCGAAGTACTTCTCCAAACGCGCCTTCTTGGTCACGATGTCTATGTTGCCATAGTGATAACCGTCTTCCCAAACTGCATTATCACCTAACAGGTCTTCCCATGACACCCATGCGCCTTCATCGCACTTGATTGGTGCGAGTCTTCCTCCCGTCCTGAACTGGCGTCCAATTCGATGTCTCAACTTCGCTCCCAATCGACGACTCAGGGCCTGGCTCGCTTGGCTGTATTCAGGTACTCGGCAGTCTGGAGTCGGATACTTGTGGTTGCCGTAGTCGGAGTTCTGTGCAGCGAAAGTGACTCCGTTGATCGGTACTAGTTCAACTTTCCCGACCATCGTCATGGGGTCGATCGGCTTGTATCCCTTCTCCCTCCGTGTCGGTAGGGGATAGAAGTGATGACATGCCTTTGGTGTGAGGGAACTGGAGTGCACAAATGCTTTCTCTACAAATTCGTACACCACCCTCATATCCCTAGGGCCTGCTTCCGCAAGCTTCCGCCCATTGTAGGAATGTTTCCCTCCTTCGACTCCATCAGCACTTTCGATCAAGGTGAATCCGTCATGGTCGAACATTGTCACGACTCTTGCTTTCAACATTTCTTGTCGCCTGAACTCGCTGTCGACCTTCCTATCTGGAGTAGGCGATGCTCTCTGCTTCTTCTTCTTAGGCTCCTCGGTTGGATGTCCAGATGGTACATCGTCGGGTGCAACCTCTCCCTTCACTCTCTTCTTCCAATCACTCAACACTGAGGTGACCGTAGGTGAAGATGAAGGGGTCTTCTCGCAATTGAGAGTTGTGTGTCCCGACTTCATGCAGTGGATGCAGAATTCTGCTTGCCCGATCTTCTTCTCAAATTCGTCGATGGCTTGCAGTATTGATGTCTTCGGGTCGGACATGTCAACGTCTTGCTCCTCCTTCTCCTGTTCACATTCAGTCTCCATATCGACACCTTCGGCCTCGGGCTGGTCAGTAGCCTCTGTTCCCTGTTCTGGTTCTTTCCCAATTTCGAAGAAGTGGTCGATGTCGAATTCAGGAGGCGGCATGGTCCTCATGCGAACTAGAATCAGTGCCACGTTTGCCGCCTCATCAGAGTGCGGGTCCAAGGTTCTGATCGTCGATCGCTTTCGGTTCTCATACGTTGTCCTGTCGTACAGCGATGCAGTGACGCGTTTGATGGATTCTTCTAATCCCGTCCTCAAAGCTTCGATGTCACCCCATCCCTTGAACATGTGCCTGAAGAGTTGAGCAATTTCGAACATGCCCAGCAGCGCTTCCACCATGTCACCTACCCGTTCCTCCGTGGGATCATCTCCGAATATAGTACGGAATACATCGGGTTCCAGTATGGTCTTGAGGTATTTGGTGTAGCACACGTTTCCAAGGTCGTATGATCCCTGGTAGTATACTTGGCGCTGCCGACTATCTGCTTTTCCACATGGATGCTGGGTCCTCTCCTCGTTTTGAAGAAGTTCTCCGTCATTGTTGATGACAACCTGATCCCCCCGAAGAACGAGATCTCCTTCTGGAAACCTGGATTCTCGTTAAAGATGATCATCGCCTCGTGTAAGAACTTCATCAAGTCTTCGTGCGGGTTCATCTCGGAGATCATGACGGTGGGAGAAGATACCGTTTGTCCCATGCCGAAGTTGTGAAGCAATCGCGCACATGCATGGAATCGCTTCTGGACATAGTCTTCTGCGGACATCCCACGGCATCTATTTGCTGCTCCGTTGATGCATTCTGCATAGCAATCGTCTTTCAAATCTGAGTCTATGGGATGGCAGACCAGACAGTAATCGCAGCAAATTTCCTCACCCTCCTTGAAGTCATCAATGACGTACCATCTTTGAGTCCTCGAGTATATTGGTTCTGGCTGAAGGACTCCCCAGTACTCATCCATCCATGGCATTTTGTTCTCTCTCCTTACCTTCTCCCTCTTC